TTGAATGCATTCCTGGAACTTTTATCTCCCCATACCAATCTTAAACCCAACCCTCCACCATCATCAAACTCCAACGAGCATCTATAACCCTCTTCCACAGCCTCCCCTCATCACTCATGTACCTGTATAACCATTGCCTTGTAAGACAATATCCATTTCAACAAATGATCTAAGCCCCAACCACCTTGCTTCATAGGTAGCCTTGCCTTATCTCACTTCACTAGGTGGTATCTCCTACAACTCTCATCATCCCCCCACAGAAAACAACATTGAAAATTTTTCAGTGTTTTTACTATCTTCACTGGCACGGTCATAGCCGATAAATAATATTATAGGGAGGTTTGTAAGTGTGCTTTTATGAGCATTAACCTCCCACTCTTGGACAAATAATTCCTCTTCTACCGAGTAAGTCTTCTCTCGAGTATATCAATCACAAGTTCCCATGTTCTCACATTTTTATATCTAGATCCTAGAGAAACGACAAGATACTTAATAGGTAGCTTACCAGATTGGCAACCCAAGACATCAGCAAACCTTTCCTCATCTACCCTGTCTCATAATTTTACCATTTCAAATTTACTTAAAATTAATATTCAATCTAGACACGGCTTAGAAGCACATCAAAACACATTTAAGATTTAATATCATTCGCTTCTTAGGTTGGTAGAAAACCAAAGTGTCATCAACGAAAAATAAGTGCAATACCTCCATTTGATGGGCACCTCTCCCACCTTCACACAACTCAACAACTCCAACTCCTTGGCTTTCTCTAACAATCTACTCAATGCTTCCATAACAATAATGAATAGAATGGGAGATAAAGGATTTCCCTATCTCAATCATCTATACGCCTTAAAAAAAAGAAGAAGAAAGTCCTCCATTCATCATAATAGCAAATGAGAGCATGGTAAAACACGACTTCATCCATCTCCTCCACTTTTGCCCAAAACCCAACATACCTAGCATATAATTTACGAACTCCCAATTAACATATCATATGCCTTCTCCATATGTAACTTGTAACGAATCTCTTCTTTCCTTTTACCCACCACTTCATTTGTCACTGTGACTGCGTACAAAATCTATATGCCTCCACAAAGGCATGTTGACTCTCCCTAATCACTTCATCCAACACCTTGGACAACCATCTCCTCCTCTGGTAGACTTTCAGAGGCTTCTTTGAACCTTTGATCCCCAGCTACTTAGTCATAGAGCCTCCTCTATTCCTCACATATTACTGGATACAACTTCCCAATTGAAGCTCAAAAATTGCATCGATGCAGCCAATCAAGATGGATTTGAAGAAAAAGAAAAAGAAGAAAAGGAAGATAAGAGACAACATGCACTCTTTACCTAGAATGGATCTCTGATAACCACACCACCTAATAACCTAGCCAACAACTACAAAGTCCTCT